TAATTTTCCCTTTGGGGCCCCGCCCTGGCCCCAGGGGTTGGGGTAGGAATCCCAATTTTACAATTTTGAAGCCTCATCTACCAAGGATGATTCTGACCAAGTTTGAAAAAAATCCATCCACTGGTTCTTGAGAAGAAGTTGAAAATGTAAAAGTTTACGCACGACGGACGACGACGGACGAAAAGCGATTAGAATAGGTCACTTGAGCAAAGCTCAGGTGACCTAAAAACTTAATTCCTTTTATCACATTACCTCAAATCATTATCAGAATCATGGACACTTAAACGTAACAGTGTAAATAGCTACAATAACCCTTCAATTTACTGAAATAATACAGGAAGACAAAAACAGTGTATCTGTTTATAATACAATGTGACAAAGCCCTGCTTGTCTATCTGTTCCAGAATTAATTGTACTGGAGGTGATAAAGCCCTGCTTGTCTATCTGTTCCAGAATTAATTGTACTGGAGGAGATGGGAGCCACTTTACACTTTACAGCTTGATCACTGATTAAAGGAATGTTAGGCAGATCTGAATTGAACGATACCATTCTTAATATATTAATCCAGGTGCCTCCCACCTCCCCATACGATTAATTATAAAATAGCCTTGACCAGGGGAGGTGATGATACACTGCCTGTGTGAGATATGTGAGCTGGTATACTTACATCGGAAGTGCGAGCTCCGATGCCTGCGCTTGTACCCGAAGTTGATCTGATACTGTGATATCGTTTTCTCTATCACTGTTGCTTCCACACACACTTGTTGTCGACTGTCAAAAAAACCCGACATCAATCAAAATGTAACTTTAATTGTTTTTATATATATTTTAGTTTAATGATATTACAATTCTGTTGGAGGAGTGAGAGAGAGTAGTAATAGGGAAATTCATAAATCTAAATCTCAGAAGTTATTGGAGAAAGATTTTATAAAATATAATTAAGCAATATGACTACCTACATAAACACGTTGAAGGGTATACTATTACCAAAACACACGTATGACATCAGAGATTTCTTGTGATTTTTACTAAAGATCATTTCACCTATCCTCTTTTAGTCCTTTTATTTATCTTCATTTTAAATATAATGATAGGTTGTTTTGAAGTTCTGAGAATAAGTGATCCGTTACTGTGACTTACCTGAGCATGGGCGTCCCCATCAAAGTGATAAGTGATCCGTTACTGTGACTTACCTGAGCATGGGCGCCCCCATCAAAGTGATAAGTGATCGGTTACTGTGACTTAACTGAGCATGGGCGTCCCCATCAAAGTGATAAGTGATCCGTTACTGTGACTTACCTGAGTATGGGCGTCCCCATCAAAGTGATAAGTGATCGGTTACTGTGACTTACCTGAGCATGGGCGTCCCCATCAAAGTGAAATCCTTCCCACCAACTAATAATACCTGGCAAAAAAAATCAAAAAAATCATCATTATTATTAAAATAGCATACCATAATGTTCCACAACATATTTCATACAGTATATTCAAGAATAACTGCAAGTTTGTGACACAAAAACTTACCAGGTTTTTAATCTTCAAAGAAAGTATTCTGTTGATTTTTTTTTTATTAAGTAGAATATTTGAAGTCCTTGTGGTAGGGCCATAAAGTGTGTGACCTTTTGACTTTAACAAGATTGCAACTTCAATTATTATACTTTGTCTTTGTAGTATTGTATCAGGTGAGGTTATATTGATCACATGACTGAAATAAAAATGTCTCTCATGCTAGAAAGTTTGTGACTGAAGTGGACACCAACAACAACTACAACTAGGCCTGATCAACCTTATTGTTCTTTCATGGTTTATAATGGTTCTATCAACTACAACTAGGCCTGATCAACCTTATTGTTCTTTCATGGTTTATAATGGTTCTATCAACTACAACTAGGCCTGATCAACCTTATTGTTCTTTCATGGTTTATAATGGTTCTATCAACTACAACTAGGCCTGATCAACCTTATTGTTCTTTCATGGTTTATAATGGTTCTATCAACTACAACTAGGCCTGATCAACCTTATTGTTCTTTCATGGTTTATAATGGTTCTATCAATAAATGTATAGAGTGACCTTGTAACACTAAAAACTGATGCGGTCAATAAAAGGTGGAAAGGAGTAAAAAAATATTTATGACCACACTTTCCTGATTTGGAGGGGAGAGGTCAGTACAGTTATGACCACATTTTTCTGATTTGGAGGGGAGAGGTCAGTACAGTTATGAACACACTTTCCTGATTTGAAGGGGAGAGATCAGTACAGATATGACCACACTTTCCTTCTTTGGCGGGGAGAGGTCAGTACAGATATGACCACACTTTCCTGCTTTGGGGGGGAGAGGTCAGTACAGATATGACCACACTTTCCTTCTTTGGCGGGGAGAGGTCAGTACAGTTATAACCACACTTTCCTGATTTGGGGGGGAGAGGTCAGTACAGTTATGAACCAACTTTCCTGATTGGGAGGGGAGAGGTCAGTCCAGTTATGACCACACTTTCCTTCTTTGGCGGGGAGAGGTCAGTACAGATATGACCACACTTTCCTTCTTTGGCGGGGAGAGGTCAGTACAGTTATCACCACACTTTCCTGATTTGGAGGTGAGAGATCAGTACAGTTATGACCACACATTCCTGATTTGGAGGGGATAGATCAGTACAGTTATGACAACACTTTCCTGATTTGGGGGGGAGAGGTCAGTACAGATATGACCACACTTTCCTGATTTGGGGGGGAGAGGTCAGTACAGATATGACCACACTTTCCTTATTTGGAGGGGCGAGGTCAGTACAGTTATGACCCCATTTTTCTGATTTGGAGGGAAGAGGTCAGCACAGTTATGAACACACTTTCCTGATTTGGAGTGGAGAGATCAGTACAGTTGTGACCACACTTTCCTGATTTGAAGGGGAGAGATCAGTACATTTATGACCACACTTTCCTGATTTGGAGTGGAGAGATCAGTACAGTTATGAACCAACTTTCCTGATTGGGAGGGGAGAGGTCAGTCCAGTTATGACCACACTTTCCTGCTTTGGAGGGGAGAGATCAGGACAGTTATGACCACACTGGCCTGATTTGGAGGGGAGCGGTCAGTACAGTTATGACAACACTTTCCTGATTTGGGGGGGAGAGGTCAGTACAGATATGACCACACTTTCCTTCTTTGGCGGGGAGAGGTCAGTACAGTTAGGACCACATTTTTCTGATGTGGAGGGGAGAGGTCAGGACAGTTATGACTACACTTTCCTGATTTGGCGGGGAGAGATCAGTACAGCTATGACCACACTTTCCTTATTTGGCGGGGAGAGGTCAGTACAGATATGACCACACTTTCCTTCTTTGGCGGGGAGAGGTCAGTACAGTTGTGACCACACATTCCTGATTTGGAGGGGATAGATCAGTACAGTTATGAACACACTTTCCTGCTTTGGGGGGGAGAGGTCAGTACAGATATGACCACACTTTCCTTATTTGGCGGGGAGAGGTCAGTACAGATATGACCACACTTTCCTGCTTTGGGGGGGAGAGGTCAGTACAGTTGTGACCACACTTTCCTGAGTTGGAGGGGAGAGATCAGTACATTTATGACCACACTTTCCTGATTTGAAGGGGAGAGATCAGTACCCTTTCCTGATTTGGAGGTGAGAGATCAGTACAGTTGTGACCACACTTTCCTGAGTTGGAGGGGAGAGATCAGGACAGTTATGACCACACTACTAGGCCTGATCAACCTTATTGTTCTTTCATGGTTTATAATGGTTCTATAAATAAATCTATAGAGTGACCTTGTAACACTAAAAACTGATGCGGTCAACAAAAGGTGGAAAGGAGTGAAAAAATATTTATGACCACACCTTCCTGATTTGGAGGGGGGAGGTCAGTACAGTTATAACCACACTTTCCTGATTTGGGGGGGAGAGGTCAGTACAGTTATAACCACACTTTCCTGATTTGAAGGGGAGAGATCAGTACAGATATGACCACACTTTCCTGCTTTGGGGGGGAGAGGTCAGTACAGTTATGTCCACATTTTTCTGATGTGGAGGGGAGAGGTCAGGACAGTTATGACTACACTTTCCTGATTTGGCGGGGAGAGATCAGTACATTTATGACCACACTTTCCTTCTTTGGCGGGGAGAGGTCAGTACAGATATGACCACACTTTCCTTCTTTGGCGGGGAGAGGTCAGTACAGATATGACCACACTTTCCTTCTTTGGCGGGGAGAGGTCAGTACAGTTAGGACCACATTTTTCTGATTTGGAGGGGAGCGGTCAGTACAGTTATGACCACCCTTTCCTGATTTGGAGGGGAGCGGTCAGTACAGTTATGAACCAACTTTCCTGATTGGGAGGGGAGAGGTCAGTACAGATATGACCACACTTTCCTTATTTGGCGGGGAGAGGTCAGTACAGTTGTGACCACACTTTCCTGCTTTGGAGGGGAGAGATCAATACAGTTATGACCACACGTTCCTGATTTGGAGGGGAGAGGTCAGTACAGTTATGACCATGCTTTATAACACTGACCTTTTCTAATCTGATTCGGTCTCCAACATTAGGAGGGAAGTCTGATTGTACGATGATGACATCCTCTGTTGTGACCTTACGCTGTTTCCCTGCCACTTGTACTACAGCAAACAGTCTCCCCAGGTCGGTAGACACCAACGTCTCAATCACCAACTCTGTAGCAGCTGTAAACACAAAACACGCTACTTTACAACTATATCAACATATAATTTAAAATTATAGAAGTTTTATCATATTTTTTAATAGAAATGCAAATTTATAGAAGTATTTCATTTGTATTTAAATTCCTGTATAAATGTTTCGTCTTCTTTTTACATTAAGAAAGCTTGTTCCTAAGTTTAATCAGCATAAGGAAACGGGGATCTACCAAGACCATTGGTACTGTTTTAAACTATTTTACATGTTCTGTATACAATGTAAGGTAGGTTATATAACACTTACTTTTACTGCTCTCAGGGGTCTTTAGCTCGGCAACTGCGCTGAATCTGCGGCTACAAGGAAAGATAATATTATTATATTAATTAACTACCAACAAACTATACAGCATCATAACCCGGGTTACCAAGGGGAAATTGAAATGACCAGGACTACAGACCAGGTATTTTCCTACCTCTGTTTTGGTTTGATGCTACCCTTGTTTAAATTTTGTACAAACAACCAATTATAGGAATCCTCCTCCAGGTACTCGATTAGATTTTACTGCTGTGAGGTGTCTCTTGATGGTTGCCTTTGTGTTAACCATTTTTTTCAGTGTTTTAGAGGCAAATTGAAAAATGAAAAAACGAAAAATAAAATATACTATTTCATAAAAAGTACTTGTAAATAAAACATGTATGAAGAAGGGGATCCTTCAAAAGGAAGATATTTTTTTCTCGAGAAAACAAAAAATAAAGTTCATAATTTGTAGGGAGATTTTATTTCCCCAGCAAGAACCAACAACTGTTCCCCAGCCTAACTGAGAGAAAAATTGTTTGAGGGAGAACATATCTAAGTGAACCTACTAGATAGGATGGAGGTTAAAAGTGCATGTGAATGTGCAAATAACATAAGCAGTAGAAGCTATGGTGTAAAGAAATATGGAATGATGTGTGGATATGTTACCTGTGATCACTGTGTGATATGTGGTGATGTTACCTGTGATCACTGTGTGATGTGTGGTGAGGGTACCTGTGATCACTGTGTGATGTGTGTAGATGTTACCTGTGATCACTGTGTGATGTGGGGTGAGGTTACCTGTGATCACTGTGGGATGTGTGGAGATGTTACCTGTGATCACTATGTGATGTGTGGAGATGTTACCTGTGATCACTGTGGGATGTGTGGTGAGGTTACCTGTGATCTCTGTGTGATGTGTGGTGAGGTTACCTGTGACCACTGTGTGATGTGTGGTGAGGTTACCTGCGATCACTGTGTGATGTGTGGTGAGGGTACCTGTGATCACTGTGTGATGTGTGTAGATGTTACCTGTGATCACTGTGTGATGTGGGGTGAGGTTACCTGTGATCACTGTGGGATGTGTGGAGATGTTACCTGTGATCACTGTGTGATGTGGGGTGAGGTTACCTGTGATCACTGTGGGATGTGTGGTGAGGTTACCTGTGATCCCTGTGTGATGTGTGGAGATGTTACCTGTGGTCACTGTGTGATGTGTGGAGATTTTACCTGTGATCACTGTGTGATGTGGGGTGAGGTTACCTGTGATCACTGTGGGATGTGTGGTGAGGTTACCTGTGATCTCTGTGTGATGTGTGGTGAGGTTACCTGCGATCACTGTGTGATGTGTGGTGAGGTTACCTGCGATCACTGTGTGATGTGTGGTGAGGATACCTGTGAACACTGTGTGATGTGTGAAGATGTTACCTGTGATCACTGTGTGATATGTGGTGTTGTTACCTGTGATCACTGTGTGATGTGGGGTGAGGTTACCTGTGATCACTGTGGGATGTGTGGAGATGTTACCTGTGATCACTATGTGATGTGTGGAGATGTTACCTGTGATCACTGTGTGATATGTGGTGAGGTTACCTGTGATCACTATGTGATGTGTGGAGATGTTACCTGTGATCACTGTGTGATGTGTGGAGATGTTACCTGTGATCACTGTGTGATGTGTGTGGAGATGTTACCTGTGATCACTGTGTGATGTGTGGAGATGTTATAATTAGTTACCTGTCAGCAGTTTGTGAAGTGTGGATGTGTCTGTTGATCGTGAAGGAACCCACTGGGTACTTCCCTCTCACAGCACAGCTAGCTGCATCTGTAATAATAAAAGCAAATAAATCAATTATAGTGTAACGTAGGGTCTGGATATTAATTATAGTTTAACGTAGGGTCTAGATATCAATTATAGTGTAATGTAGGGTCTAGATTTTAATTATAGTGTAATGTAGGGTTTAGATATCAATTATAGTGTAATGTAGGGTCTAGATATCAATTATAGTGTAACGTAGGGTCTAGATATTAATTATAGTGTAACGTAGAGTCTAGATATTATTTATAGTGTGACGTAGGGTCTAGATATTAATTATAGTGTAATGTAGGGTCTAGATATCAATTATAGTGTAACATAGGGTCTAGATATTAATTATAGTGTAACGTAGGGTCTAGATATCAATTATAGTGTAACGTAGGGTCTAGATATCAATTATAGTGTAACGTAGGGTCTAGATATCAATTATAGTGTAACGTAGGGTCTAGATATCAATTATAGTGTAACGTAGGGTCTAGATATCAATTATAGTGTAACGTAGGGTCTAGATATCAATTATAGTGTAACGTAGGGTCTAGATATCAATTATAGTGTAACGTAGGGTCTAGATATCAATTATAGTGTAACGTAGGGTCTAGATATCAATTATAGTGTAACGTAGGGTCTAGATATCAATTATAGTGTAACGTAGGGTCTAGATATCAATTATAGTGTAACGTAGGGTCTAGATATCAATTATAGTGTAACGTAGGGTCTAGATATCAATTATAGTGTAACGTAGGGTCTAGATATCAATTATAGTGTAACGTAGGGTCTAGATATCAATTATAGTGTAACGTAGGGTCTAGATATCAATTATAGTGTAACGTAGGGTCTAGATATCAATTATAGTGTAACGTAGGGTCTAGATATCAATTATAGTGTAACGTAGGGTCTAGATATCAATTATAGTGTAACGTAGGGTCTAGATATCAATTATAGTGTAACGTAGGGTCTAGATATCAATTATAGTGTAACGTAGGGTCTAGATATCAATTATAGTGTAACGTAGGGTCTAGATATCAATTATAGTGTAACGTAGGGTCTAGATATCAATTATAGTGTAACGTAGGGTCTAGATATCAATTATAGTGTAACGTAGGGTCTAGATATCAATTATAGTGTAACGTAGGGTCTAGATATCAATTATAGTGTAACGTAGGGTCTAGATATCAATTATAGTGTAACGTAGGGTCTAGATATCAATTATAGTGTAACGTAGGGTCTAGATATCAATTATAGTGTAACGTAGGGTCTAGATATCAATTATAGTGTAACGTAGGGTCTAGATATCAATTATAGTGTAACGTAGGGTCTAGATATCAATTATAGTGTAACGTAGGGTCTAGACATTAATTATAGTGTAACGTAGGGTCTAAATATCAATTATAGTGTAACGTAGGGTCTAGATTTCAATTATAGTGTAACGTAGGGTCTAGATATCAATTAAAGTGTAACGTAGGGTCTAAATATCAATTATAGTGTAATGTAGGGTCTAGATATCAATTATAGTGTAACGTAGGGTCTAAATATCAATTATAGTGTAACGTAGGGTCTAGATATCAATTAAAGTGTAACGTAGGGTCTAGATATCAATTATAGTGTAATGTAGGGTCTAGATATCAATTATAGTGTAACGTAGGGTCTAGATATCAACTATAGTTTAACGTAGGGTCTAGATATTATTTATAGTGTAAGAATATTAGAAACTACAAAGCATCATGTTGATGATATATGACAAGTATATAAAGTAAGTTTATCTGATTAAGGTAGATAAAGGTCACTTAGATAAAATCATTTTAAATATAACCTTAAGTTAGCTTCTGTACCTGGCCTATGTCACCAAGTTTGTGTTTATACACGTATGTATAACATAACAAAGAAGAACTAGTTATTCACATCTCTGAAAAGTACCCTTTGAGTTAAAAAGCACAATTTTCTGATCTTCAAATTATTCCAGAGCTATCTGAACATTTTCTCAAATGTAAGTTACTCCAACACATATAGTGTGCCTGTAAGTTACTCCAACACATAGTGTGCCTGTAAGATACTATAGCTAGCACACATAGTATGCCTGTAAGTTACTTCAACACATAGTGTGCCTGTAAGTTACTCCAACACATAGTATGCCTGTAAGTTACTTGAACACATAGTATGCCTGTAAGTTAATAGAACACATAGCATGCCTGTAAGTTACTTAAACACAGAGTATGCCTGTAAGTGAATAGAACAAATAGTATGCCTGTAAGTTACTAGAACACATATAGTATTCCTGTAAGTTACTAAAACACATAGTATGCCTGTAAGTTAATAGAACACATAGTATGCCTGTAAGTTAAGTATGCCTGTAAGTTACTCCAACACAAAGTATGCCTGTAAGCTACTCCAACACAAAGTATGCCTGTAAGTTACTAGAACATATAGAATGCCTGTAAGTTACTCCAACACATAGTATGCCTGTAAGTTAATAGAACACATAGCATGCCTGTAAGTTACTTAAACACAGAGTATGCCTGTAAGTGAATAGAACAAATAGTATGCCTGTAAGTTACTAGAACACATATAGTATTCCTGTAAGTTACTAGAACATATAGTATGCCTGTAAGATACTCCAACACAAAGTATGCCTGTAAGTTACTAGAACATATAGAATGCCTGTAAGTTACTCCAACACATAGTATGCCTGTAAGTTAATAGAACACATAGTATGCCTGTAAGTTACTAAAACACATAGTATGCCTGTAAGTTAATAGAACACATAGTATGCCTGTAAGTTAATAGAACACATAGCATGCCTGTAAGTTACTTAAACACAGAGTATGCCTGTAAGTGAATAGAACAAATAGTATGCCTGTAAGTTACTAGAACACATATAGTATTCCTGTAAGTTACTAGAACATATAGTATGCCTGTAAGTTACTACAACACAAAGTATGCCTGTAAGCTACTCCAACACAAAGAATGCCTGTAAGTTACTAGAACACATAGTATGCTGTAAGTTACTCCAACACATATAGTGTGCCTGTAAGTTACTCCAACACATAGTATGCCTGTAAGTTACTTGAACACATAGTATGCCTGTAAGTTAATAGAACACATAGTATGCCTGTAAGTTAATAGAACACATAGCATGCCTGTAAGTTACTTAAACACAGAGTATGCCTGTAAGTGAATAGAACACATAGTATGCCTGGAAGTTACGAGAACACATATAGTATTCCTGTAAGTTACTAAAACACATAGTATGCCTGTAAGTTAATAGAACACATAGTATGCCTGTAAGTTAATAGAACACATAGTATGCCTGTAAGTTAAGTATGCCTGTAAGTTACTCCAACACAAAGTATGCCCGTAAGTTACTAGAACATATAGTATGCCTGTAAGTTACTCCAACACAAAGTATGCCTGTAAGCTACTCCAACACAAAGTATGCCTGTAAGTTACTAGAACACATAGTATGCTGTAAGTTACTCCAACACATATAGTATGCCTGTAAGTTACTTCAACAGATAGTATGCCTGTAAGTTACTATAGCTATTACACATAGTATGCCTGTAAGTTACTCCAACACAAAGTATGCCCGTAAGTTACTAGAACATATAGTATGCCTGTAAGTTACTATAGTTACTTCAACAGATAGTATGCCTGTAAGTTACTAGAACACATAGTATGCCTGTTAGTTACTCCAACAGATAGTATGCCTGTAAGTTACTCTAACACATACAATGTAGTATGCCTGTAAGTTACTACAACACATAGTATGCCTGTAAGCTACTAGAACATATAGAATGCCTGTAAGTTACTCCAACACAAAGTATGCCTGTAAGTTACTTCAACATATAGTGTGCCTGTAAGTTACTCCAACACATAGTGTGCCTGTAAGTTACTATAGCTAGCACACATAGTATGCCTGTAAGTTACTTCAACACATAGTGTGCCTGTAAGTTACTCCAACACATAGTATGTCTGTAAGTTACTAGAACATATAGAATGCCTGTAAGTTACTCCAACACAAAGTATGCCTGTAAGTTACTCCAACACAGATAGTATGCCTGTAAGTTACTCCAACACAAAGTATGCAACACATAGTATGCCTGTAAGTTACTCCAACCCATATAGTATGCCTGTAAGTAACTTCAACAGATATTATGCCTGTAAGTTACTCCAACACATAGAATGCCTGTAAGTGACTCCAACACATATAGCATGCCTGTAAGTAACTTCAACAGATAGTATGCCTGTAAGATCCTATAGCTAACACACATAGTATGCCTGTAAGTTACTCCAACCCATATAGTATGCCTGTAAGTAACTTCAACAGATATTATGCCTGTAAGTTACTCCAACACATATAGGATGCCTGTAAGTAACTTCAACAGATAGTATGCCTGTAAGTTACTCCAACACATATAGTATGCCTGTAAGTAACTTCAACAGATAGTATGCCTGTAAGTTACTCCAACACATATAGTATGCCTGTAAGTTACTCCAACACATAGTATGCCTGTAAGTGACTCCAACACATATAGTATGCCTGTAAGTAACTTCAACAGATAGTATGCCTGTAAGTTACTATAGCTAACACACATAGTATGCCTGTAAGTTACTCCAACACACAGTATGCCCGTAAGTTACTAGAACATATAGTATGCCTGTAAGTTACTCCAACACATAGAATGCCTGTAAGTGACTCCAACACATATAGTATGCCTGTAAGTAACTTCAACAGATAGTATGCCTGTAAGTTACTATAGCTAACACACATAGTATGCCTGTAAGTTACTCCAACACATACAATGTAGTATGCCTGTAAGTTACTAGAACACATAGTATGTCTGTAAGTTACTAGAACGTATAGTATGCCTGTAAGTTACTAGAACACATAGTATGCCTGTAAGTTACTCCAACACAGTATGCCTGTAAGTTACTCCAACACATAGTATGCCTGTAAGGTAATAGAACACATAGTATGCCTGTAAGTTACTGCAACACATAGTATGCCTGTAAGTTAATTGAACACATAGTATGCCTGTAAGTTAATAGAATACATAGTATGCCTGTAAGTTACTCCAACACATAGTATAAGTTACTAGAACATATAGTATGCCTGTAAGTTACTCCAACACAAAGTATGCGTGCAAGCTACTCCAACGCAAAGCATGACTGTAAGTTACTAGAACACATAGTATGTCTGTAAGTTACTAGAACGTATAGTATGCCTGTAAGTTACTAGAATACATAGTATGCCTGTAAGTTACTTAAACACATAGTGTGCCTGTAAGATGATAGAACACATAGAATGCCTGTAAGTTACTTGAACACATAGTATGCCTGTAAGTTAATAGAATACATAGTATGCCTGTAAGTTACTCCAACACAAAGAATGCCTGTAAGTTACTCCAACACATAGTATGCCTGTAAGGTAATAGAACACATAGTATGCCTGTAAGTTAATATAACACATAGTATGCCTGTAAGTTACTTGAACACATAGTATGCCTGTAAGTTACTTGAACACATAGTATGCCTGTAAGTTACTTGAACACATAGTATGCCTGTAAGTTACTTGAACACATAGTATGCCTGTAAGTTACTTGAACACATAGTATGCCTGTAAGTTAATAGAACACATAGTAAGCCTGTAAGTTAATAGAACACATAGTATGCCTGTAAGTTAATAGAACACATAGTATGCCTGTAAGTTACTAGAACACATAGTATGCCTTCACCTTCATAACCTTTTTGATCAGTTCTTAACAATCTTAATCATTGCTTTAATAAACTCTTAAACTCTTGTGAAACTTGGCTGCTAGATAGAACTACCAACAACTTCAATTGTAATTTCTACAACAACCCAGACAGACATAGCAAGCTTGGACTTCAGCAAATCATTTGACCCAGTACTAGTCCTACACAAGACTCCATCTGTATTAGACCAAACATTTTTTTTTTAGTGTTTCCGGTAACCCTATATAGCTACCTTCCCTAAGTTTTTGTGCCAACCCTAAACGTTTTAAGGCACTTTTCAAAGAAGCATTGTTTAAGTCAAGAACATTCTAGCTCTCCTATATAAACCATATAAATTAATTTGTTAAAATGAAAATGTATTAATTACCTACCTACCCTGAATTGTTACAGGAAAGGCATGTATTTTTTGTCTGGCCTTATATATATATGACAGTATAGGGGGGACATTTCTTGCTGGATTAGAGTATTCCTATGTGATGGAGACATGAGGGTGGTGATGAAAACCTTGGACGTAAGAGAAGTTCCAGTCATCTGAGGACCCCCCCCCCCCCAAAAGCAGAGTTTTTTGTTTTGGCAATACACTCATAATATAATCTTGATTATATTATGAGTGTGGTGATAACAAGGGCGTTTTTTGGTAAATAAATAACCCATTTGATTTGTCGATATATATGTGAGGTAGCCTGGTAGGCGTTGTGTCTGACATAGTGTGACCTACATGTAAACGTACTAAGCTAGCTGTTTGTATTTGTAAATCTCTGTGTTCCTTTGCATTCTCGATGTTATTTTTGCACTTGAGTAGAGCTAGCCTTGACCTAGCCACGGTCAAAACACATAAGTGATGCAGACAATCTCCGGGTGATTGACAGGTAGGGGTGGGGCCTAAGGGTATATAAGCCGCCAAAACATGCGAGTTGTAAGTATACTTGAGAGCGAGTTTTCAATGATGGGGTATGTCTGAATAAGACTGTTACCAATTACGATCGTTCAATCTAAAGTATCATACCTAACAAGGGCGAGCTATCGTGTTGCTTCAGGTCCGCTACATTGATGAATCACGGGCACTACTATGAGAGCTCGTTAGATTGCTATAGGGAGTTATAGGGACCACCGAGTGGTCAGGGTAGCTTTAGGTTAGCAAGAGGTGTTCTATAGATTGTACAATATTGGTACATGTAGTGCTGCCGAGCTATCATTGTAGTGGACAACTGCTGTACTGAGCTATCGCCAGAGTACAGATAGTGTGGTCAAGACCCGTGTGTGTTGCTGTGGCGTGCAGTGAGAGGTCAGCGAACGATCGGCTGTGTATCATTGCATGATCGTAAGAGGCGACTAAATTTGAGATCTTATCTATACTCTTCTTTCTAAACAACTTTCTTCTTCCCAATGTCTCCCTTGACAATGCCTCACTTTTGGCCTTTAGTTGAGTGTTGGCCCTTGTGAGGAAGGCTTTGGGTTCTGTCCCCTGGACGAGACATACCAGAGTCTGTAAAAATGGTAGTTTCTACTCCTGCTTAACGCTCAGCAATTTAGTAGTGGGACAACTGGTTCGCCCATTGTCAGTATAATGTGACCGGGTGGGGTGTCTTGCTAGGTGTCTTCGGCAGTATGTTTCAGTTAGGTAGCACTATAAAGTCGGCATCAGTTCCGCGCCTAGTATCACAACGGGACAAACATGAACATATCGCAGCCTCCCAAAACACACATACATACACTTCACCCATTCATCTTGCACACAGGGGAGGCCATCCTTAAATAATCATAGCTTTTGATAGGACGTTAAATAATACTTTACCAAACCAAACGTACATGATTGCTCAGACATAGGCAATGTTTCAGAGCTAGATTAATATAACGTATCTGTATTTATTGGCATCTTTACTAGAATATTGTTACATCGCAGTTGGGGTAGATATACTCGCCAGAATCTCCAGAGTACTGGTACGGACCATAGGGGAAACGTCACAATAGCTGGTTTTTGTTTTTTGCACCTCAAAACGTAGCGCTTTCTACGGTGTCATATAGTAGTGCGTTCTGGCTCTTCACCAGGCATCTATCTGTCAAAATGTCAAAGTCTGGTGCCAGAGGAAACTCCGGGTACTGGGCCTGCTAACTATTGGTCTTTTGTGTATCTAATGGGTGTTTGTTAGCACAAAAAGGACAATTTAAAAAAAAATCCGAATCCTTGGTAATTGCTTTGATATGTTAACGGGACGATGTACTTCATGTGTGTTACTGTCAATATCCCGAAAGTAACTAACTCACGTCCTTGACGTTTGATCTATAAAATCACCGGATTGCTGTGATAATTTCTACATCATCGTACATGCATAAAAAGATTAAATTAAACAGCAAATACCTATTTCAAAAATAAAGAATTTTCACCTGTTTTTGAACAATTCACGGAACCCTTCAATGCCTTGCATAAAGTTGGAACAAACTGACGATAGAGAAATCCACATGCCTTGTTCGCCATTTTCCGTTTACTACTCTGGATCTCAGAAACGTTTTGAAATTGCCACTAATAAAGTAAACGGGAGTCGGAATGGCCTTATGCGGAAATTTAATTCCGTCCTGGATTGCAAAGCGATGTGGTGGTGGTTCCCGTTAGGGCTTCTACTAAAAAAAATGGACTGGGCAAACGCTGAAAAAAGTCCTTCCTATACTTATCAACTGAACAAAATGTGACTAATATTGGGAAACTCAAAACTAACATTTTTAAAGATACCGGGCACAATTGGTATTTATTTAGTAATTCTGACGTTACGTTAGACTATCGTATATTGCGAGGACAATTTGTGGGAAAATCAGAAAGCGAATTCTGCCTGGTTGAACAAAACGACTGTACGAGACATGACTTGTGTGGTGTACTTCATGCTCACCTGGCACTTTGAATAGATATTTTAACAACTGTCCCTGACAACAATATTCATGCTTCGAAAATCCTTAATAATAATTTTCCGTCGGTGGGCTTCGACCCCTGAACCCCCAACCAAGATAGGCGGCCCCAGACCCCTCGCCTGGCCATGGGCTTACACAAATATCTTTTAGCCTAGCTACGCCCCTGATTATATAATATATGTATGATATTACATGATTTATGACAGAAAAATCTGAATTAAAGAACAAAACGAAAATCTGTTAGCAATATACTATATACAATTTGTACAATGGCTATACTTATTCAGTTCATTATTACTTATGGTATTATGTAATAGGTTAATGTGACTCCTACAAATGTTTGAGTGGATATCACTTTTGAATTATTCAAAGGAAGGGGTCAATCAGATACATTCAGGTAGATTATTCCAACTGATGTAGTTGTTGGAATATTTGTCATCAGGGAACTTCAACCCCCACCCCCTTTATATTTTTATTTTTTGTATTCAACTTTTTTTCATAATCACATTTTACTACAGTTACATGCACATTACAATTGTTTCATATAACTATTTTCGTTCTGTAACTATATATCAATCAGAATCGGTATAGATATATATATATGAGTCTACTTGTTTACTCATGCATGTACAAAGTTTATATTAATTTAGATTATATTTCAATCGGATATTTCACGTTTTTTAAAGACAAGTACAGAGTACCATGACATCTGTAAGTAAGACAGATCATTTCTATTTTGAATACATTTAGACGTGAAGTTATCCGAAAGGAATATATGGCTCTAAAGACTTTACCCAAAATATATTAACAATGTCAGCTCAGTTAAGAAAGTAAATGATTGATAAAAATCCATTTGCATTTGATTTTTTCTTGCTTTTTGTTGTGATAGGCATACAGACCCATATCTTCTATTTTATTATAAAACTTAGGTATGTTTTCCCTTCCAGAATGGTAGGAGCTGTGGGTGTTTTTTTTAACTTACATGAATGTATATAGTATCTCATAATGAGCAATAAAAAAATAATCTTGTCTCCATGTTCTTTTTCTATTACACCAAAAAATAAAAGTTGTTGGGTGTCTGGGCAAGGTAATTTGGTACTTATTTTCTAGCGTATCTATCAGCCATAACCAAAAAGTTTTTATTATACTGCATTCCCAAAAAAGATGCATAATAGTTTCTCTCTCATTTGTACAAAATGGGCATCTTTTAGTTTCAGCTAATTTGCAGCTCATTAATTTTGTGTTGGTATAGATGATCCTGTGTATGATTTTATACTGAAAGTTAATAAGTTTTGTGTCATCAGTTATGGCCCTTGGAATCGAGTTAAAAGATTCCCAAGATTTTTCACTGATATTACTATGGAGTTCTTCTTGCCATTTTCTTTGACTATTCACCGGTTTTTCAGAGATGGTTTGGATAAGAATATGATAGAAATAATTGGTAACTTTATCATAAAGAATGCAATTATTGCCTCTTTTAATTAAATAATTATACCAAATTGGTTGCGAGACCACCTTCTCTGGGGTTGTTGGGGACACATTTTGGGGGGTGCGATAGTTTTGAAACTATTTCCCTCGGAAAATGCGGGAAATTGAGTGACGTCATGGGCGGGGCCTGACCGAATATTGACCAATCAGCGCAATCGTAAAATTTTAGTTTTGTTAATAAAGTGTCCCAACTGTTGAAAATTTGTTGTCTAATAATATTTAAAATATTGTAAGGGAGTGTTTGTATCGGTATAATAAAACAGTTGAAGTATGGGTATTTCGGGATATAGCAAGTTTATGATCCCCCGAGGCCAGGACTATTTCCCGAGGCGAAACCCATACTTTAACTGTTAAAAAACCTACCAATTTTAGGAAACCGGAGCTAAAAAACGTGTCAATCTCATTAAAATCAGATGTTAATAAAAATACCTGTTACGGCCGTGCTATTAATGCGTTACGTAATAATGAACAGCTGTATTTATTCAGATTGAAAACGTGTATGACATATGTTTTGCTTCTGCTGTTTTTACATAATGATACTAGTATGTCAATTAAGCTGCATGTCGACTTTATTGATTGCTGATTTATTATATTTATATGGACAGTTGAGGTTGGAAATAACTATAGATTAATTATTCATGATCAGTAACAGTTAGCTACTATAACTATAACAAAATCTTCAGGCAATATCAGTGCAGCCCCTGACGAGAATAATTGTTGTGATTTTCTTCGGTCTGCCAATATTAGCAAGTTGATTTTGTTGTGTTGATTTTTTCTGTTGGGCTCTCACTACTGTTTTGAAATTGATCTGCTAAGTTTTTAGTTTGACGTTAGATGTTTCCCAAAGATTTTTCCGGATATTGTTTTCCTTTCGTCGGCTCCGTATTTATACAGTACATTTCAGGAACAATCTTCCTTGCCCGCAGAATGGCTCGTACTTTAAATCAGATGTTCTGCAAAAATAGTTAGTCTAGACTTCCATGGGATATCTCCAGGTATGCTGTAAGTTGTCATGGTACTATTCGGTAGCACATTTCTGTAACTTAAACAAACGGAAAGTCGGTTATCTGCAAATGCAAGCTACGCTTATTAGCTTACGCGTAAAATGCAGTCAGTTACTGATATTTAGCCTATGTTGAATCCCCTTATACATGTATGTATCGAAAAAAAGGATTGATAGGAATGTCAGACATTTGTTGGTCTACTGATTAGCGACCCCGTCTCATTTATAACTTGTCATTCAAACAGTTAGTTAAATAACCGTGTCTGAAATGTTTGTATCCGAGGAGATGTTTACAATGTAAAGTTGACAATGCAACACCATTTGCTTATTCATATTCATCATCGTGGCATACTCTCCCATCTATGGAAATACCTTGGGCTTTTTTTAGTCAGAGATTAACCATGCCTGTTACAGTTAGGTTAAAATGATTATTGTAGGCCTATAGGTTGGGAACATCGTAAAGGATGCACTGAAACTCAGAACACATCTCAATCATAATTAGACTGAGACGATAAAAATCCACTCATCTTCATCTTGAAACATTCCTCCGTCAATATATTGATAACTACAGAATTAAAATTGTGGTCTTGTGCTATAGTGCGTTGTTATGTACAATGAGACACATTAATTGATATTTGGATGTAAATCACAAATTCTGTTAAAAATTTAAAAATAACCATAGAAAGTGGCACAATTATGATCACTGAGTAAAATATGAGGGTTATATAGGCTACATTTGTGATCACTGAGTAAAATATGAGGGTTATATAGGCTACATTTTGAAAATAAGGTTTAAAAAAAATATGTTGTCTGTGTATAATATGTAGTTTGTTTATTACGAAACCATATATACTGCCTGTTTCCCTCGCCATTAATTACAGTAAATCCTTAGGTCAGGAAAATAGTTAATAAAGGTGAGTATATTCTTAAGATAGATCATCCATACTTTGATTCAACATGTCCAATGAATTACATTGTGTAGTTAAAAAAAGTAGCATACATCTAGCCTCCATACAGAATAGGTTTAGTCCCAAAACTTATTATTTTGGAAATGATGTGTACAAACTGCTGCACAAAGTTAAGCACAAAAGTTTGCAATACTAAGTTTTTTAACCCCCATATGCTGTGGTCACTTGTTAGTGACCTGTCCCAACGGTAACCCTTATTTAGTGACCTATCCCTGTCCCAACATCAACCCTTATTTAGTGACCTATCCCTGTCCCAACGTCAACCCTTATTTAGTGACCTATCCCTGTCCCAACGTCAACCCTTATTTAGTGACCTATCCCTGTCCCAACGTTAACCCTTAATTAGTGACCTATCTCTGTCCCAACGTTAACCCTTTTTTAGTGACCTATCCCAGTCCCAACGTTAACCCTTATTTAGTGACCTATCCCTGTCCCAACGCTAACCCTTATTAAGTGACCTATCCCTGTCCCAATGTCACCCTTATTTAGTGACCTATCCCTGTCCCAACGCTAACCCTTATTAAGTGACCTATCCCTGTCCCAATGTCACCCTTATTTAGTGACCTATCCCTGTCCCAATGTTAACCCTTATTTAGTTACCTATCCCTGTCCCAACGTCAACCCTTATTTAGTGACCTATCCCTGTCCCAATGTCACCCTTATTTAGTGACCTATCCCTGTCCCAATGTTACCCTTATTTAGTGACATATCCTTGTCCCAACATCAACCCTTATTTAGTGACTTATCCCTGTCCCAACGTTAACCCTTAATTAGTGACCTATCTCTGTCCCAACGTTGACCCTTATTTAGTGACCTATCCCAGTCCCAACGTTAACCCTTATTTAGTGACATATCCTTGTCCCAACATCAACCCTTATTTAGTGGCTTATCCCTGTCCCAACGTTAATCCTTAATTAGTGACCTATCTCTGTCCCAACGTTAACCCTTATTTATGACCTATCCCTGTCCCAATGTCACCCTTTTTTAGTGACCTATCCCTGTCCCAATGTTACCCTTATTTAGTGACATATCCTTGTCCCAACATCAACCCTTATTTAGTGACTTATCCCTGTCCCAACGCTAACCCTTAATTAGTGACCTATCTCTGTCCCAACGTTGACCCTTATTTAGTGACCTATCCCAGTCCCAACGTTAACCCTTGTTTAGTGACCTATCCCTGTCCCAAAGTTCAACCTTATTTAGTGACCTATCCCTGTCCCATCGTTAACCCTTATTTAGTGACCTATCCCTGACAAAAAATCAACCCTTATTTAGAGACTTATCCCTGTCCAAACGTTAACCCTTATTTATGTCCCAAAGTTCAACCCTTATTTAGTGACCTATCCCTGTCACAACATCAACACTTATTTAGTGACCTATCCCTGTCCAAACGATAACCCTTATTTAGTGACCTATCCCTGACAAAAAATCAACCCTTATTTAGAGACTTATCCCTGTCCAAACGTTAACCCTTATTTAGTGCCCTATCCCTGTCCCAACGTTAACCCTTATTAAGTGACCTATCCCTGTCCCAATGTCACCCTTTTTTAGTGACCTATCCCTGTCCCAATGTCACCCTTATTTAGTGACCTATCCCTGTCACAACATCAACACTTATTTAGTGACCTATCCCTGTCCAAACGATAACCCTTATTTAGTGACCTATCCCTGTCCAAACGATAACCCTTATTTAGTGACCTATCCCTGACAAAAAATCAACCCTTATTTAGAGACTTATCCCTGTCCAAACGTTAACCCTTATTTAGTGACCTATCCCTGACAAAAAATCAACCCTTATTTAGAGACTTATCCCTGTCCAAACGTTAACCCTTATTTAGTGACCTATCTCTGTCCCAACGTTAACCCTTTTTTATGACCTATCCCTGTCCCAATGTCACCCTTATTTAGTGCCCTATCCCTGTCCCAAAGTTCAACCCTTATTTAGTGACCTATCCCTGTCTCAATGTCACCCTTATTTAGTGACCTATCCCTGTCACAACATCAACACTTATTTAGTGACCTATCCCTGTCCAAACGTTAACCCTTATTTATGTCCCAAAGTTCAACCCTTATTTAGTGACCTATCCCTGCCCCAATGTTAACCCTTATTTAGTGACCTATCCCTGACAAAAAATCAACCCTTATTTAGAGACTTATCCCTGTCCAAACGTTAACCCTTATTTAGTGACCTATCTCTGTCCCAACGTTGACCCTTATTTTGTGACCTATCCCAGTCCCAACGTTAACCCTTATTTAGTGACATATCCTTGTCCCAACATCAACCCTTATTTAGTGGCTTATCCCTGTCCCAACGTTAATCCTTAATTAGTGACCTATCTCTGTCCCAACGTTAACCCTTTTTTATGACCTATCCCTGTCCCAATGTCACCCTTATTTAGTGACCTATCCCTGTCCCAATGTTAATCCTTATTTAGTGACTTATCCCTGTCCCAACGTTAACCCTTATTTAGGAAGTTGATGTACTTTTTTGTGAATTTTTAGGTCACCTGAGACAAAGTCTCAAGTGCCCTATTGCGATCGCCTTTTGTCCGTCGTCATCCTTCGTCCGTCGTGCGTCCGTAAACAATTTACATTTTCGACTTCTTCTCCAAAACCCCTGAACCAATTTCAATGAAATTTTGCAGAAACCTTCCATGGCCAAAGGTCAACAAAAATAGTTGCCAGTTTGGTCCCTGGCCCCCAGCTGCCTGAGGGACGGGGCAAAAAAGGGTAAAATTGACTAAATTTCAAAAATCTTCTTCTCAAGACCCAGATATGGTATAATCAAATACTCTTCATAGATGGAAGGGTCTTAAGGTGCTTTACCAAAATTGTGAATTTCTTGACCCTGGGGTCTCATGTTTCCCCCTGGAGAGGGGGTAAACTTTACTATAGTTTATATAGGGAAATCACATTTTGGACCAACATTTGTTTAATTGCCATTGGAGGTAATTCAATTTAGGTTAGCATTATCAGTATTGGGTAGCAGTTTGATGGTATGCACATATCAGGCCTGACTGACCCCCCGGGGCTGATGGGCGGGCCAAAAAGGGTCGAATTGACTGAAATTTCTAAAATCTTCTTCTCAAAGACCCAGATATGGTAGAATCAAACACTCTTCATAGATGGAAGAGTCTTAAGGTTTACGACCCTAGGGTCTCACATTTACCCCCTGGGGAAGGAGTAGGGGGGGGG